GTGAAAAGATTAGTGCTTTGTCGGGGTGGCCTCGTAGCTCAGCTGGTAGAGCGTGCGCTGTACAAAACGCGTAGGCGGCGTCCATATGTGGGTTCAAATTCCACTCAGGGGCTTTTGAACTTTACATAATCGACAACTATATATACAAATATAAATATATATATACATATATATATACATATGGGTACTAACCAAACTCGTGCAACATCCTGATTTTGAATACAACTCCCCCCCCCAAAAAAAAAGAAAAGCTTTGTTTGTCCAGCCACACATCAGACGCAACACATCTGATATAATACCCACTTATGCCGGTGCTTTTATTAGCCACAATCCATTAAAATATACCATTTGGTGAGTTTGATATGATTGCTGGTGCACTAGTTGTGAAATAACAAAATCACCGTGGAAAATATAGCTAAAATTCATTTATTAAAATGACTCACAGACTTCGTTTGTATAGGTATTGTACCGTCATCTCATCCATGTTCTGTTTGGACTGTTGCACTTTTGACCACTAGAAGCAGTCTCTTTACCATGGAGTCTACCACGTTGACCGACAAACAGAATTTGCTAGTTTCCTCTAATACACCCCGAACCCTAACCATTGACGTCAAATGACTTACCCATGTTTCTGATACAGTAAAACGTTTTCGATTAAATTAAAATCTCAGCTGTTGCGCCGTAATTGAATGAATTTGATATTAAACTTGACCCCTCCAGATACATAAAATGCATAAATGTCAAAATAATAATTTTTATATGAGGTCTTACCACAGGAGACCAATAACAAGGCACTTGGTATTTAGTTCCATCCTAACTCGTCAGGCGGGATGAATATTTACTTCTCTTTTTTTAACTACTCCAATGATTATCGCAACACTCAAGGTCACGCAGATTCAAACGGTGATAGGAGAAAATTAAGAACATAGATGTGGGACACAAAATCAGAAATAAATATATTTTACCCGTAGCCATCAATAAACAAGTATGATTTTGGGGAATTAAATGTATTTCCAAAATGATAATGATGTTTCGTGAGTTTGCTCAACACTCGGATGTATATAAATATATACATATTATAGCATTGATTGTTCAATGAATTTGCTCTGAAAGCGCTGTCTGTCCAAAGTCACCCGGCATTACGAATATCGTTACTGTGACAAAACTACACCTCCTGGTTACAAGCATACGAATAAACTGACAAAATATTACCAGATGAATGACGAGAACCGCGAAACCGGTCTTCTAGGGAAACTTTGTCTAGCCATTCGCATAATACCTATTGTGAAATTTATATACGTCTAAACCCTTCGAACGCCTTTCCTTGAACAATGTGGATATATTGTATTGCTCTCGCAAAATGTCACTGATGTTTACCTGAGATACGTTCAATCTCTTTTCTCATTAATTGTCACTCGACATAGGTTTCCATGAAAAAAAACTTCAAAACTAAGAATATCAATAGTTTGATGAAAGACAAGTTCAGAACAACCCTACGTATTTATTCATTAAGGGAATGCAATAACCTAAAAAATCAACAGATTTTCATGTTTGCTCATGTGAGCTTTTGAAACTGTTATTGAGACACAGAGGAAACTCCACTGTCCCCCATCCGAACACAGAATACTTAGCTCGTCCAGTTTGCTCGAGATTGTCTGTTTGAGATGCTGTCAATTGTCGGTTGTGCTTTGCTGCACTTTATTCTAACACCAGAGAAATATTTAACCCCATACGGGGACCTGTCAACTGGCTATTGCTGTAACCTCATATTGGTAGTGAATTTATTCAGAAAAAACATGTAAATTGTCCGATCGACTCGAATATCCAATTCGATATGAAAATCATCAATTTTGTGCATCATTTGGCACAGCAATCATCGAACCAGTTGTATCCTGACGAGGATCTCGAAATTTAGATGAAAACCTCACAAACAGCTTAGAAGCCTATGCGCGCATTCAGTTATTAGGTGAAATGAAAGCTCCAAAGTATAATTAAAGCGTCTAACTGGCACACGTGCGTGGTCAGTGCCGGGAACTGCTACTTTACCGGTTATCAAAGCACGTCATCTCCGCGTTTGTTTCGTTTCGCCTCGGTCGTGTTTTTTTTCGTGTTTCACCCAGAAATCATCATTCTCTCTCTTTCTCGCTCGTGCGCTGTTCATTGTGAGGAATAAACCAAGCCAAACTCTCCGCGAGTCATGCGCTTCGGTAATAATTGGTGACAGTATTTGACAGCACAAAATATCTCACATGATCCCCGTGTGTGTGTGTGTGAGTGATTATTTTCCAATGGAATTTTCACGTTTTTAATTGCAGTCCTGTAGTTTTCTAGTCGTTTGTCTTTCCGGCTGCAAGATGTCTGCTGCGGCGACATTTCTTTCGCATATCATCAGTTACTTCATGCGAATTACAAACAATTATATATGTTCATGGGGTACAGTGACAAATAGATTTAAAGGCGAGATTCATATAACTTGTTTACGAGACAGTGTAACTGGTTTACCAACACTTTTTCATCCTAATTGGAATACAGATGAGTGGACAATTGTTCGCGAATGGGTGAGAATGATGTGTTAATGAGTGCACGTGTGTGTGTATGTGTGTTTCAGTAGGTATAAGGCGGAGAGGGAAAGTTAGAACACGTGAACATGCGAAAACAGGAAGTTAATAGGCCGATTAAGTAATACTGACGATTATCAAGAACAAAAGTTGGAATTCACTATCCACATTTTCCACTCATCTGCATTCGAATTAGGAGAAAAAAGTGTTGGTAAACTAGTTACACTGTCTCGTGAACAAGTTGTATAAATCTCGCCTTTAAATCTATTTGTCACCATACCCCATGAACATACATAAATTGTTTGTAATTCGCATGAAGTAATTGATGATATGCGAAAGAAATGTCACTGTAGCAGACATCTTGCATAACACTACTGGCATTTTTCAAATGCATTCGGGGAAATCATTGTTTCCGCTTGGTGTTTAACTCATCCAATTTTTGAACCGGAAAGCCTGTTACCGTTTGATTATCAACAGTGCTTGATTCCAGTGAAAAACCGAACAGGCTAATTCAAACATTTATCATCGAAATTGATTGAGTGATTCATCAACACACGGTGTTGACCATCGGCCGTGTAGCTCAAGGGTAAGGGTTTGAAGTCCCGTCCCGAGTGATCACGGTTCGAGTCTTGAAACGGGGACATAAAAGGTACGCGCATCGCTGACGAGTCCTGCAAACAGAACGAAATAGCTATCCAGTGCCCTTTGTTAGTTATCACAAATATTTCCAACGTATTTGAATGTATTCAACTAGTCTGTAATTAACGATCACCCAAGGAGTAAAAACCACACCGATGACCATCAAGAGTTTTTTACTGATTTGAGCTGGCTATCTTTCGGACTTCACCTCACGCACAGTCCTCAGTTCATCCAGTCAACCATACACTCGGAAGCACCATACTAGAGTTTCGCTCTTATTAGAGCTCATTAGTAAAGCATATCCACCGTCCCGTCAGGGCTTTGAACTCCGGACCCATCGAATGGAAGGCCTGTACGTTACCACTGTGCTAACTAGCTCGTACCGTGACTGAACCAAATTACCAATTCATGTTTGTTCAGATTTCGTCTTCAAAGTTTAAATCTTCAGAGTTCAAATCCCTGACGGGACGATGGATATGCANTGCACTATCGAGGAGCTCTAATAAGAGCGAAACTCGGGTCTATGGCGCTTTCGAGTTTATGGTTGACTGGATGAACTGTGGCTTGTGCGTGAAGGTGAATTCCAGAGGATAGTCAGCTCAAATCAATAAAAAACAATTATCCCAGACCATTACTCACAAGTAATTGTGCCGGGTGCCTGTGAAAAACCAAATGAGCTGATCTAAAAATACACCATCTTAATAGAAGCGAAGTATTTTGACTAGGGGATTCGAATGCAAAGAGGATCAGTGGCTAAAAAACCGGTCGATTTCTTCCTCCTCCACCTCCTCTTCCTCCCATCATCATTATCATCCGAATCATCATCATCGTCATCATCATCATGTCACACAATTTTGTTTTAATTTTGAGGCATTCGCGAGAATCCAATGCATACCGATTGGCTTTCATCTAACTGATTCAACTCTCACTGTCTCCTGTCAACCGGTATTCTGCACACACTTGGATGACCAGTATCAGATCAGTATCGGTAATATATGCTTACCCACCTTACTGTTGTAATTAAGAACGATAATGATGAGGGTTCAGCACCATTAGTTACGTGTGATTTTCACTGAGCTCTGATGGGGTTGGTCGGATCCAGTCGATAATGATCGGTTTGAAGCTGTCCATCTTCAAAGTTGAGCATCAGTTACCGGGCTCACGGGTTCACAGGTCCAAAGTGAAAATATTCATTTGAATCAACCCCATTCACTTACGGATTTACTTAACGGATTAATTCAAAAGTTATTTGCAATTTTTAATGAAATCATTAATTCTTTGTCAGGAAAGGTTTTAGGTGCTTGGTGTAGGGATCTTTTCCCGTGTATCCTGGCTGCTTTTGTTTGTTCTAATTTAGCTGTTAAAGTATCAACGAAACACCACCTGTTGAACGGACTCACTTTTTTCGAGGAAGTGGTTGTGGTGGTAATGGTGTTGTTGGTGTTGTTGTTGGTGGTGGTGGTGATGATGGTGGTGATGGTGGTGGTGCTGGTGGTGGTGGCGGTGGTGGTGATGGTGATGGTGGTGGTGGTGGTGTTGGTGGTGGCGGTGGTGGTGTTGGTGGTGGCGGTGGTGGTGGTGGCGGTGGTGGT